ATAATGAGGGTGCTCTATCTATATATATATATATATATATATATATATATATATATATATATATATAGGCTATATATACAGTATACTATATATATTAGTGGTGTCCATTGCTATTGCGCAAAGATCGCTCCGTTCATAATAACTAAAAAACTGTCACTCATCTTAGTTCATAGCGATCTTACAAAGACACGTTATTATCAATAACGTTCTCTACACTGCACAACAGATCTCTTATTTACATCGCGTCCACACTTTGTTTTAATGAGATGATTTGTGTAGAACACAATACCTGAACAAAAACTCCAGCAATTTCAGCGGTCAGTGAATTCTAACTTAAACGCTTCTGATTCAAGAAATCAACACATATGTCTGTGATGGGCTACAATGCTCAACGCTGCAAAAACAAGTTGAAATAGAAATCGATCTTCAGAGCGCAAACCATAATGCACTGGATAGTTTACCAAATCTGCAATAAAATGCCATTAATACAGCTTTAACTGAGGGTGTTTTTGAGCACCCTCTAGCACCCCCGTAGAACCGGGCCTGCCAGGAGCGTGAAGGGTACGAGGACTCTCACAGTAACTAGTAAACTGAGAATGAACAGGAAAATAAGCGACTGTAAGTAGGCCTAGACCAAAAGCACTTAATGTTTAAGGTTCTATTGTAAACATTATGCATTAAGGCAGCATTAACTATCAGAAACTTGAAAAAAAAAATTATATCACGGATCCCACAAAAATATTAAGCTACACTAACTGTTGATAACTGATATTAATAATACTAAAAAAGTTTCTTGAGCAGCAGATCAGCATATTAAAATGATTTCTGAAGCTTCATGTGTCACTGAAGACTGGAGTAATGGCTGTCTTCAGATTTTCCATCACAGGAATAAATTACTTTTTTTGTTTTTATTATTATGCAAACAGATATACAATTTAGCGGTGACAAATCAAATACAAAATAACCCAGGTCAACAAAACATACATGACTGCCAACATGATTTGTGTGTGTGTGTGTGTGTGTGTGTGTGTGTGTGTTAGTGTGACTGGGTGTGAGGGGTGGAAGTATATAAGCAAAGGAACATGTAGAAAAGTACAACAGACATAACAATAGTAGAAAACCGTAATAGTAATGATGACAATAGTAATAATGATGATAATAATAGCATTAATAACAAAAATCAGAGGATGGAGGATGAGGAAGGTGATAAGTAATAATAGTAATAGTAACAGCAATAATAATAATAATATTTTTTTTTAAATATTATTAAAAAATAAATTAATTAAATAATAATAATAATAATGAACTCAATTAATCAGAAATGAGGGGAAAGTTGGAGGTTGTGGAAGATGACAAGTAGCAAAATAATAGTATTAATTAGTAATTAGTAATAGTAGCAATAATAGCAATATTAACAATAAACTCATTCATCAGGAACCAGGGGCAGGTTGGAGAATCAGGAAGAGGACAAATAGTAATAATAATAATAATGGTAGTAGTAGTAATAATAACAGCACCAACAACAACAACAATAATAATAATAATAATAAAGCTATAAATAGTGAGAAATTGTAAGGCTGCCTCTGGGCCCTCTATGAGCACAGCATGAGTTGGGCCCCCCGCCCATGTCACCCTACGACAGGCCATCAAGGAGAGGTGTTGTGGGGCACAGGGCCCAAAGTCCCACCCCTGGCCGCCACATACATGCCATGCTTACCCTATATATATATTTTTTTGTTTGTTTGTTTTTGTTTTTGTTTTGTTTTTTGTTTTTTTGATGTGTTTATTATTAATTTTGTTATAGACGTATATGTGTGTCAACTAGTGTGAGATGCATTAAAAAAGCATGACGTGCAGCGTGAAACCAGCCCAGTGCAAAGCCCAGGTCCCCATGCTCACGTCACACTTACCCTGTGTGTTTGTTATACATACATACACACACACACACACACACACACACACACATACACACATATATATACACACACATACACACACATATATATATATACACACGTATGTATGTTTTTGTTCCCCCACTCTTTCCCTTGCTTATGTTCCAATAAATGCATGTATATCATCTAATATGTGAGGCATTAAAAAAACCAGGCATGTAGTGCTGAACCAGCCAGAGGCAAGAAGTCCAGGGCAAAGCTGGTACAAGCTGGATGTACAAGGTCCCCAACCCCACATCACACCCACCCACAACTAATCCGAACCACACAGAAAAAAAAAGAAAACGAGAGTGGGGAGAGAGAGACAGAATGAAAGAGAGAGAGAAAAAATAAATAAAAATTAATTTAATCTTTTATAAGTATTTAATTAGGTTTGATATTAGCCATTGTTGCTACCTCCTCCTAACCCCCCTCCCCCAATCTTGTTTAGATATTGATGAAGATCAGAAGGTCAGAAAGAAGGTAATTGAGGATGGCTTCAGACAAAGAGGGTCAGCGGATTCATGATTGATGGAAGTTTATGAGAGCTAACCAAGAGGGGTGTAATTCTATTGTATTATTTTGATGAGATGCATTAAAAAAGCATGACGTGCAGCGTGAAACCAGCCCAGTGCAAAGCCCAGGTCCCCATGCTCACGTCACACTTACCCTGTGTGTTTGTTATACATACATACACACACACACACACACACACACACACACATACACACATATATATACACACACATACACACACATATATATATATACACACGTATGTATGTTTTTGTTCCCCCACTCTTTCCCTTGCTTATGTTCCAATAAATGCATGTATATCATCTAATATGTGAGGCATTAAAAAAACCAGGCATGTAGTGCTGAACCAGCCAGAGGCAAGAAGTCCAGGGCAAAGCTGGTACAAGCTGGATGTACAAGGTCCCCAACCCCACATCACACCCACCCACAACTAATCCGAACCACACAGAAAAAAAAAGAAAACGAGAGTGGGGAGAGAGAGACAGAATGAAAGAGAGAGAGAAAAAATAAATAAAAATTAATTTAATCTTTTATAAGTATTTAATTAGGTTTGATATTAGCCATTGTTGCTACCTCCTCCTAACCCCCCTCCCCCAATCTTGTTTAGATATTGATGAAGATCAGAAGGTCAGAAAGAAGGTAATTGAGGATGGCTTCAGACAAAGAGGGTCAGCGGATTCATGATTGATGGAAGTTTATGAGAGCTAACCAAGAGGGGTGTA